GGTGGTAAAGAGAGAATGCACTCCATACTCCTAAACCTTAGGAATGCAAGGCAGAACTGCCATCCGCTCAGGTATGCTGTATGACTGAATAAAGAAAAGCTGGGAAGCGCAGTGAAGTCGGCTGAAATGAAGCTGCCACTTTCACCAGGCAGGCACTGTTTAGTCAACATTAGCCACAAACAGTGGATATTTTTTGTCTTGTTTTTGAAAGTTAAACTCTTATTTGACTAAGATCCACATAATACTTCAACTTCAAAAATACCAAACTTTCCAACAAAACAGCTGAACCCAAACTCCGCAGCACTCTTGATATATGTGTAAATTTGAAGATACAATTAAACTAATCCTCAACAAAAGTTAATATGTTTGTTAATCAAGACTAATATGAACTACAAAGTAATTCCCAGAGTAGTAAAAGTCGGGGGGCTTTAATTTTAAATTCAACCACTGCACAACTGTTCCGTAATTATTGGCTAAAGATCACAATAAACTAACTAAATAACAAGCAAAATTTATATAGCTTTAGAAAATTAGCTATGTTTTTCAAGAGGTACTAAGCAAATGCTTTTTCTCCATTTTCTTGTGCTCCTTTCAAAATTGCAATGCTAATAGCAAGAAGGTATTTTTCTGATCATTATTAATGAAATTTTTTTTTTAAATCTTACCTCAGTTATTTTTGGAGGAGAACTGGTAGCAGGAGCACTTTCTGGCTTAGGAATGCCATCAACTAGCTCTAAGACACTTGTCAGCTTCTGATCCGATATTTGGATAGAAAGTAAAGGCAGCTGTCCAGACAGTTTGAACCTGTTTTGTAAATAATCAAAGTTATCTTAAAACTACTTCATTCAAATTTTATATTAATTTTCTTCTGAAAAAACACGTAAGTCTTCCTGGTCAGAAAATCAGTCATCTAACCAGAGAGAGACGGAGAGAGACACAGAGATGTAGCTTCTGTTGCACACAGCAGAGTTACTTAACCAACAAATACCCAGTTATTAACATAATTTATATTCCCATTTGACACTCAACAGCTCTCTCTTCCATTGCACTTAAACCTCCCTACAACATTTTTGATGAATGCTTGTACAATGGACAGCTAATGCAGTTACATGGAAGGCACTTAGCAGGTAGAAGGCAGGTAACTGCAAATAATCCCAGGCTCACTACACTGCTCTTTTAACAAAAGCTTCTAAGGTTCAGAAAACATCTGGAAGTGGAATACAGTTATTCCAAATTTGTAGAGACTGAGGCACAGAGGAGCAAAGTACTTCAATTGATGAGGAAATCTGTGCAGAACTTCTTCCAAGTTCAGAGTAGTTATATTTCGAAAGAAGGAAACATTAAGTATGCCATTCTCAAGGTTGCAAATAAGTACATTCCTTCAAACTGTTTTTTTTTTGCTGTGGGGTTTTTTTTTGTTTTGTTTTGTTTAATGAACACTGTTATATGGAAGGATGCATCAGGTATACGGTTGGACTTGATGATCTTTGAGGTCTCTTCCAACCATAATGATTCTATGATTCTATGATTCCATGCTCTTAATATCGGTATCCTAATACTGATTTCATACACCTTCAAAAACCAGATGACAGACTCTCAGACACCTCCTTCAGAAAATGGGGGAACCATATAACAGGATAAAACAAACATCAAAAAAACCCCTTACACAGGCTAGAAAGCTACAGAATCATATTAGTGCTTCCAAATGTGAAGTAACAGAAACTAAAAGGAGCACTGCATCCTATTCTCAGAATTGAAAAGCAGGCAGACATTCAGATCCATTCACAGAGTAAAAAGCCCATTTTAAGGGTTAGGAAACATGAGTGGATAAAAACACAGGTTAACAGTGAAAGGCCTTTGATACAATGGTCTTCAACAGATGAAAAATACATAAATTGGTATTCTCTTCAAGGCAGCAATATAGAAATGTGCTTTCCTAAACAAGGCCAGCACAAAGCTCTGGTGAATTCATTATTGGTGTTGAACAACAAAATCACAAGGAATTCAACTGGACTCGAAGGTCACCCAAGGAAGTACAAACATCAAAGAATCAGAAAAATACACACACCCAATTACCTCCTTTTTAGGTAACAAAGTAAAACAGGTGCCCTCCAAATTAATGGACTCATTCATAAAATTCTACTACAGTAAACAAAGCAATTTTGGTACTAGTTTTTGCTGTAGAACAAACATTTTTCCAATCACCTTTCTCAACAGACCTATGCTGTTCTACTGCACAGTTCCAAACATTAATGAAAAAGAGCTCAGGAAAAATTATAATTCTGGCTTTATATGCAACTACACTAATAAAAATTTGAATATAAAGGAATAGCTATATGTACACTAAAAATACATTCATATATGTGTAACTGATGTGAGCAATACTGATGCATAATATCCTATTCAACTGTAATTATTAAAATTTATAGTTTAGGGGATTTTTGCTGATACAAAAGCTATCACTTAGTTTTTATCATTTGTGCACAATGTCATCTAGAGATCACATGGGTGTAAATATTTCTGTACCTAAACACTCATTAACTGACCATTCTTAAAACCAGAAAGAGATTATGCAGTGATAAGAGATTTGGCATTTGAAGCCATGACGATACAAATGGTATTGATGGGTTTGAGTTGTCAAAGCTAGAGATCAACAAAAACCAGAACATTTGTAGTTTTCACTGATTTGGGAGATACATAACCAAATGTAAAAATTTATCATATGATTCTAAATGGATACATATGATACAGAAGTCCATGATTTTCAGACTTCGTGCTTTTAAGCAGCTGAAAGCAAGAAGGAAGAGCAGCAAGCCCTTAAAGAAAAAGTCAAATCTCTACCATCAGGTAAAAAGCTGCTGTATCAGTAATTTCTGACTGGTAGATTACTCTAGAGTATTACAATACCATCTGCAGAATACATCCTGGAAGTATTTGGAGACTGAACCAGGTACAAAATGAACAAATTCAGCTGTTGTTGAGTCATGGTATCAACATGCTAGATTTGAAATGGTTACTTGCTCTTAATGCAGGTTGAAGTATTAGTTATGATTAGTAATTCACTGTGGTATATGCTTACCTAGCAGCAAACTGCTGTCCTTGGCATTCCTAACAGTTACAGATAGTGCAGGCACTCAGAAAGGAGCAGCAGCTGATCTCCAAGAAATACTACTATCTCAGTGGAAAAAAAATTTGCCAATTTCTAGACACAGGTAGAAACTATTTACTGTCAAGTAAGTGATTGTATGAGAATTGAGAATACAGAAATAATACCCATTTGGGAAAAATTTCCCAGAATCAGTCTAGACACATAAACTGCCAAAAATAGAAGCACACCTGGTAGCCAAGACAGTCAGACAGCTAGTATTACAATAATGCAACAGTTGTTCTCATTAAAAGCAGACACTCCTTAATCCAGGTTATAGTAGCATTATTTGGACCGATGTTGATTAAAAACCCACATTAAAATGACGTTCTATTATATGACCACAGAAATTAAACCTCACTTTTCTTCCCTGGACTTTCTGACATAAAAAGACAGATTCCTGTGAGTTGTATTTCCCTTATCTCACCTTCCCCACCAAACACAGAAAAAGTAAGGAGGGAAAGAATACGATGTTTTGTAAAGTCAAGCATCAAAATTCAGAATATGGCCTCCCAGCTTTCCAGAAGGTGGCACCATTATACCATGCAATCATTGATCTGTGTGCAATACACAGCACTGGTGAGGTACATCGAGGGGGGGCAGGGTCTGACTAGGCAAATCCTAGATTCTTCGCAATTCTTTTATTTCATAAACTGCCTCTTGACTTTGCTAATTGTACTAAACAATTTTCTGCAACAGTCTAAGTCTATTTTTATGCCATTAATTTTCTGAAGTGCCTAGCTAGAATCTGAATTTCCAATAGTGTTAAGAATGAAATAAGCATATGCTAACTTGTTGTAGCATAAGACTATGATTCTCATTAAGACTATGATTCTCACTAATGACTTAATAAATCAAATTACCTCATAATGCATTAAAATGCTAGTTTGCAAGTACTTCAAAACCAATCAGATTTTTTTTAGGTAGTAATGTCCTTATCAGACATTAGTGAAGACACACTTTCCAAAATACGTGCAAAGTTAACCTTTGCCACTTCAACTCAATGATCTTTAACATCAAAGTTTCATCATTAATAGTAACATACACGTTCTTCTGATTGAGTACAATTTCCACAACCAATAGGGTTTTTTGCTAAATAAGCCTCAATACATTAAGATCTGTTTCCCTGAGAAGTGACCTCTAGTAGGTAAACAAACAAGACAAATAAACGAAGTGAAAGACAGGGAGTATGACACCACATTACTTTTCAGAATATTTTTGTGATATTTGTAAAAGAGACTTTGTAAGTTCAGATTTTTTGCTCCTCAGTATTTCCAATGAAAACTGAAATGTAGCTATTAGAAAGACCTAATTAGAACAGGTATTAATATCTTTTATAAAAATCTTTAAATATATTATACGTATTTATTTTAGAGTAATATAACATTCTATCACCTCTTCAACATCTGGCAACTTCTGCGGTTTATTCTCTATTTTTGTTCATGAAGGTATTTTACTTCCAAGATTCACACATGGCTAATGTAAAATAGCACAAGTATAATTAGATCCTTATTTTTTTTTCCCCCAAAACAATCATTCACCATAAAATTTCAAAATAGGCAAAAAAACCATACTTGGGCATTCTTGCATCTGTAACAACCATAGCCCTGCTAAATTCCACTTTTACATCCAAGGGCTGCAAGATATGTTGAGATGAATATTTCAGCTTCCGAGCCTCTTGCCAGTTCTCATCTAGAAAAGCAAAGAAAACCTGCTTTCTAAACACTGAAAGAGATTCCTTCTTATTACACATATCACAGAATTAAAATATTTGATAGTAGTTAGTATATATTGCTAAAAATTCAGGTGTCACAATCTCTTTTACAGCTTTATCAATACATGTGTATTATAAAAGATTCCAACTTCAGACGTACAAGATTACTTAGTAATTTCTACCGTTCACATCTAAACAGCTACCCCATCCATGCTGCAGACTTCTAAGGGCTCAATTTTAACATGCATCGTACTGCAAGTTTAGGCTCTGGATTCCCCTCTGGAACCACAGTGTTAAGAATTAAATGCTTCAGACTTCTCTAGTTCTGACTCTTTCTACACTGTTAGTTTCCAAACAACTAGTAAAAGTTTCCTTCAATAAGGGATTCTGATCCTTTCTTTACCCTCACAAAATGAACAAGCCTACAACTACTTGTGGATTCTGCTTTAAATTTGGAGGGAAGCAAGGAAAATGCAGTGAAGGAAAACACCATAAATAAATTAATTACATTCTTCTATTTATTATGCAACAAATCAAATGAGACGTCTTCAAAAATAAGGGATTATTGTCAGTTTATTTACTTAGCAAAAGCTGAAGTTGGAATCTAAGGCCTAACGGTATGTTTTAGAAATTTGTAGCATGTTCATAAGATTGAGTTTAGAACATGAGTTTAAAGAAGTATGTTCCAAAGATTCTTCACTGCTTCAGCTGAAAATATAAAAGGCATATCAACCACCAAAATATTTTTACTTATATAGAGAAAGATTACTTTCATGAATACTTACCGTGTTTGCTGTACAGTAATTGAATACTGCTGAGCTGGATATCAAAACTGTCATAAGCTCTTGACATTATATCTTCAATAGTGCTTTGTCCTACTTTGAGTTCTGTTAAATCAGAACGACTTTTGCTTTTCATCTTAAAAACAGTCACAAAAAAGCATAAATCAATATCAAAAATACTCGAAGCACTAATTCTACAAATACTTGATCACACCACGGCAAAAGATTAAAGTACTCATTATAAGAGCACAGTGTCTTACAAATATCACAGCAGAAGGGATATCTAAAATTAGTAGCCTGCTTCAAAAGAAAAAAATGAAGAGTATTAAACTCCACTTTTTCTTCAAGGAAAGAAACAAAATAAAAAATTAATTAAAATCTATGAAGTTTTACACAATGTATTTTGTATAGAATAATTTCCTTTAATAAGTGACTCATACCCTGAAGTATATAGTCTCAAACACTTTGTAATCAGTAGAATAACTGTTCACGTTTTTTATATATAAAAATATTAGTGCATTAATCACCTCAGAAACATGAAATCTATTTTTGCATCCTGTTGAATTTAGTTGTGGCATTACTCTGTTACATATTAATCAGAATAAAAGGTAAAAAGAGGTTTGGACTGTTCATCATCAATGTTCAATGTCTTTCTTTTAACACCAGTCAATATTGCTTTGACTCAGTTTTGAGATGCCCATACTTCTTTGGTATTTCATGTTTGTATGTACGCTCTCCGCTACTTATCTCCGATGAAATGTGGTTGTTCTCATCCTTAAGTCTAATAATTTTGGATCCATACCTGCTTTTGTCAGACCCAGATAATATTCAAGATAACTGTGAAACAGGTTTAGATGCTAGCGTCTAAGACACAGGATTTCTTTTTTCAGAGCTACTGAACTATGACTACTTTTACATTAGAAATAACCTGCAGATTGAAAATTCAGAATTACCAAATTAATAAGGCCTGTGCAACCTTAATTAAGTCCACTTATGTATCTGCATTGAGATACAGTTTTAATTTTATACGCCATTTTCCCCCTTGGGGCTTGTCCTTATCGAGTATGTAACTGAGAGAAAAAGACTATTATTTGTTTTTTATTAAACATACTCATTCACATACTGTTTCAATGAATGACCTACATCTCATTTAAGCGTATGTCACTCAAAGTGAACACCGGATTATTAATCATAGCCTGAGAGGCACTTAAATCTTCTCTTTTAGTATTGCTCAACTCCTTCATCTTCCTTTCTATTTCCTATGAAAATTACTCCTCGATTTCAGAAAAAAAAATCTCACAGACACATTTAGTGGTGTCTGATTTTGAAACGTATTCTTCTATGTATTATTCTGAGAGTAACTTCGTACGAGTAGAGTAGAGGATGTGGGCTGTTCTATTCTCCCCTCCATTAGATCTAGGATGCCTTCTCAAGCACTCGATCAATATAAATACCAATTACTGAACTCTACAAAATGCCCACAAATGACCAGCATTCAGGAGAGCTGGAAAATTATTAGCTACTGAAATAAGCGATCTGCTTGTAATTCCAAATTATTTTTAGTATCTACACAGCAACGTTTTTGACTAATTCCACTTTCTAAAGCACTTGATATATTTAATACGGCCAAGTGCAAGGTCTTACACATGGGTCAAGGCAACCCCTGGTATCAATACAAGCTGGGGGATGAACGGATTAAGACAAACCCTGCAGAGAAGGGCTCAGGGGTACTGGTGGATGAAAACCTGGACATGACCCAGCAATGTGTTCGCGCAGCCCAGAAAGCCAACCATATCCTGGGCTGCATCAAAAGCAGCGTGACCAGCAAGTTGAGGAAGGGGGTTCTCCCCCTCTACTCCGCTCTGGTGAGACACACACCTCCCCCCGCAGTACTGACTTCAGCTCTGGGGCCCCCAACACAAGAAGGACATGGACCTGTTGGAGGGAGTCCCGAGAAGGGCCATGAAGAGGATCAGCGGGATGGAACACCTCACCTATGGGGGAAGGCTGAGAGAGTTTGGGTTGTTCAGCCTGGAGAAGAGAAGGTTTTGGGGAGACCTCACTGCAGTCTTTCAGTATATAAAGAGGGCTTATAAGGAAGATGGAGAGAGACTTCTTAGCAGGGCCTGTTGCTATAAGAGAAGGGATAATGATTTTAAACTAAAGAGGTTAAATTTAGACTAGATATAAAGGAAGAAATTTTGTACATTGAGGGTGCTGACACACTGGAATAGGTTGCCCAGAGATGTGGCAGATGCCCCATCTCTGGAAACATTCAAGGTCAGGTTGTACAGCACTCTGAGCAACCTGATCTAGTTGAAGATGTCCCTGCTTATTGCAGGGGGGCTGGACTAGATGACCTTGAACAGTCCCTTCCAATCCTAACTATTCTATGATTCTATCTGAAACCCACATCCTCAGAAAGTGAGACTGTTGCAGAGACACAGAAAACTTACTTGACTTTAGCAGAATTTTAAGCTTTGAAACAAATTCTTATTAAAAAATCACCTAAGGCAATCTAAACAGACAATAAGTGGCAGAATCATTCTTACTCAGAGTAAAAGTAAAAAAAAATTCAAAAATAAATTGCCTGTATACATGTAAGATCATTTGTTCTAAAAGAACACAAGTTCACCAATGAGTAAGAAGATTGCTAACAATATGTAGAAAGTCTCTTTGATGATTTTATAGTGCTCAATTATAATTTTAAATACACCATTAAACTACCTTTTTGACTTTTCCCTTGTATGAATTATCCCTAATTTTATTTAAGTTATTTTATAAATTGCTAATATGTTTATTTTCTCATTTTAAAGTAAACTGAATGACCAAAAGGTAATTGATAACAAGAATAACAGTAGTATTAAAAATAAGAAGACCATTTAATCATGTAAGTAAAAAGTTTACTATTTTAAATTCTAAGGTAAAAAATTCTTAGACATTTTCCAAATAACAGTTCAAAGCATCAAACCAGTGGTTTCATTCCAGGGGAGGATTATTTTCCAACAATTCTTTTGGGTTGAAAGAATCTACTGAGAAGAGTTGAATAATTTCTGCCTTGACTCTAAAGCAGTTTAAAAAAAATACCTAATACATAAACTGCAAGAGAAACTTTTACTTAACCAGTACCACAAAATACAAATGAAAAAACTGGAAATCACGTAAAAGCCGAACTATCACTTTCAGTAAGTTACTTCATTAGGTAAATACATACTTTAAGACTACCAAGATCCAGAAGTAGTAAATTTGATGTACGGTCATAGAATCCTTTTTGTGGAACAATGATGTATGAAGCCATGAAGTTAATTTTGAGGTCAAGAACTTTCTGGGTTTCAATAACATATAACAAACCTGAAAAAATAATAGAACTAGTAAATATAAACAAAATAAGCTATGGAATTAAAAGAAGCTATAAAGATCAATTCAAGTCTAACTTTAAATGAGCTGTAAGTGTTAGATAACTACATTTAATTGCAGGTACAGATGCTCTTCAAGCTTCTTCTGAACCAATAATTATAGGCAGTCTTTAAAGAAGCACCAAGCAGACGAAATGACGATAGCAAACAACACTAACAGACAAGTAGAAATAGCAACATGACGTACATAAATCCAAAAAAGTTTCATACTGAGCAGAGATGAAATGAGGAGAACTGGAATGTGTACTTGGTAACTGCTAAGTTAACCCACTGTGCTCTGTAGATTCAGAAATTTAATTGTTCTAGAAGTTCTTATTGTGAGTATCCAACTGCACTGGCCAAACTGCTGCTGTTGTTATTACTGAGACACTGAAGTTTACACTGATTCTGCTGACAAGCATCTCCATCTTGAGATGCTGAAGACCAGTAAATATAAGGCCTTACAAAAAATCTGTTTAAAAATCATGCATGAAATTCAGACTGTCAGAACATTTGAGATCAAATTCTGGTTTTTTGCTTATCTGAAGAGGACTGGTCTTGCTTCAAGTTAGTACTGAAAACTGCCTTAGGATGCAGCCACAACCCATTAAATATTTACCAGGTGCAACAAGCTGAAGATCACAGAAGTAGAAATAAGAAATTATGAAGATGACAACATGACACTGCAGCACACCCACATTGGTAAGAAAGCAACTAGAACTGCTCCAGCATTATCAAAGGTTATTCTGCCACAGGAGAGCTAGGTTAGTCAATGAAGAACTGGATGGCAACCACATTTCAGGATTTGCAAAATAAAATAACTTAGATTAATAAAAAGATAAAGATTTTTGTCTGTTTTCAATGCCTAACTGTATTTGAGTTTTTATAGAGTATTAAACAATTACAGCCATTTAAATACTCAGATGAACAAAACAGAAAAGTTGGAAGTACCAAACTGTTTTTAACTCAGCATGGAGTACAAAATGATAAATGCTGAACTACTACCTCAGAGTGTGGAGTATATTTTACAAAGAAAGTCGAAGTTGAAAAAGATAACAGACATAAAATTATCCAATATCCAGAACAAATGCTTTGTAATGAGACTGAAGAATTCAACTTATTTAGGTGTTGTGTTAGAAAACTATTTCTTGCATCCACACATCTCCATATGGAAAGATATAGTATTTTCATACTCCTAGAATCTAAAATTTGTCTGAGTGTGCAACCAGAAGAGCATGCAGCACTTGCCTGTTGATGTTTTTTCACGGAACTCTTCAAGCTTCGTCAGAGTTGCTGATGTCAATTGCTCTAAATGTACATCTTTTGGAGGCCTAAAGAAATTCACTAAGCTATTTATTGTCATCTGTTAAAATAAAGCAAAAATACATGGCAAATTTACTATTGAGTAACATTTTTTCAAGATTTGTAACTTATTCAAATATTTACTTACTGCATCATATACTATTTCCAATGGCTGTGATTCTATTCTAAGCCTCTGATCTGCTTTCTCATCCAAAGGATTAGTCTCAAACATTATGGTTAAGAGTGAGGTGCTCTTGTCTGAATAGACCGTTCGAGAAGATAGGAGACAGGGTGTACACTTCTCTCGGGACATGCCTGTAACTTCAAGTGAGGTAATTTTTGTTTCAAATCTGTAAACAAATGTAAATAGCACGTTCAGATGTAATATTCCTCTGGCTAGGTACAATTAGATGGTAAGAGTATAAGGAATCAGCTGAAAGAAAACAGAAAACAAAAAATCAAAACAAAAACCAACGACAACATATCTCTACCCTTCCTCAAATACAAACAGCTTAGTCTAAGGATATAACACATATATCCATGCATTAACTGTTTTCCATTTCATTATCATTTGTGTCTATTACCCATTCTTGAGTAAGTAAGAAAGACAGTCCAACTTATTCACTTCATACACTTCATGAGGTCAGGTGTCAGAGCAAGGAAGAGACATGCAAATGGGAAATCTGTAGTATGAGCTCAGCAATTAGATGGTACAGTTTATCCTAGGGAACAGAGATATAACAGAGAGGGAAGGGTTCCAGTGCAGAGAAGTACAAGAAACACCAGAGGAGGAGTACATGATTAAAAGCCTCATTACTCTGAGGAACTATTTCTTAGGTGTTGGATTTGGTTTTTTTCAATGCCCTATTCACCTCTTCAACAGTTCTCAGCTGAAGATCTTTATCTCCCAACACTCAATGGAAAAGTGTTTCACTGTGAAAATACAACATTTTCTCCTTTTTTTTTTCCTCAGTATGATAGCATTATTAGGGCCATTCAGATGCACAGGAGAACAAACGGAAAAGCTGTAAGCAAAACTTTAAAAAATCATGCAAAAAACTCAGCAAGATCAATAGCATCTTAGTATCTCATACAGATTATACTAATGTACCCCAAAGCAGAGGGGACATAGTTTAAAACAGGAAGGTTATCCTCCCCCAGAATTTTAAGTCATTACATTTGAAATGAAAATAAAATATTTCATATCACTGCTTCATCATCTACTGTGAGAGCACAAAACCAAGCCCAAATCATCAGTTACAGCTTTCTTCTCCAAATCTTAAAGCTCAACTGAAAACTCCACAACTTTTTAGCCATGTTAAATGCCTACACACAAGCAGTTACAAGATCACCTTGCTCAGATTAAGTTTCAAAAGGAGTAACAGTCACTTTCCAAAACAAGAATCAAGTTAGTAACTGGATTGCTTATACTTAAGAATGATAAACTGAAAAAAAGGAGAAAATCTGTATTGGCATAAAAAGTACTGAAGATGGAGAGAACTTTATCATGGAAACAGCATCCATTTACTTTGTCCATCAGCTGCAGGATGATTCTGCTTCCAAACTGTACAAGAAATAATAGTGAAAAATGGAAGTTAAACATCCTAACAGAGCCTTAAAATGCCTATTAGCCATCATCAACATTCATGAGGAGCAAAACCAGTTTGACAGAGAAAGCTCACCTTATTGCTTGTGCACCTGGTCGTTGGGTAAATACTGTACTCAAGCCAGTTAACGCAAATTCTACCAGCTCAGGAGTTTGCTTGTTTTCTCTTATTGATATAGACATGCTTAATAACTTCACAGAGAACTTCATGGCTTCATACTAGATATGCAAGAAAAACAACAACAGAGGATTATAAAGGATGTTAATAATATATTTCAATACAGTTCATGAAGAGATGAAAACCATAAATACCAGTTTGATACTATTTTTCTAGTGCTATACATAGCTTGTATCATAGCTGGTATAAAAGTAATTTCCAAATAGTTATTACAAATAGGCAGGGTTAGAGAAAAGAGTAGACTATGCTTACAAACGTAAGTCTTTGATGTCTCTACACCACATTTTGAGATAAAGGGCCTCTGACTGCTGGAAGGTAGTCACCTGTACTGTGCATGGTATCTCACATAAAGATTACTTACCAGACTATTTCTGAATGGTTCAGAAATGTTGCTCTTCCCCACTACACTCCTTCAATCACTTCTTTCCTGATATACTCACATACTCTACCTCATCTACTATCACTTATACTTAAGGTTCCAGTGAATCACTTAGTGCACTTTCTGCAAAAGTTTCTGAATATTGTAAGAGGATGCATTTGTGGATGAGGGAAAGGCTGTAGATGTGGTCTACCTGGACTTCAGCAAGGCCTTTGACATTGTCTCCCACAGTATTCTCCTGGAGAAACTGGCAGCTCATGGCTTGGACACGAATACCTTTCGCTGGGTGAAAAACTGGCTGACCGGCCGAGCCCAGAGAGTAGTAGTGAATGGAGCTAAATCCAGATGGCGGCTGGTCACAAGTGGTGTTCCTCAGGGTTCAGTGTTGAGGCCAGTTCTGTTCAGCACCTTCACTGATGATTTGGATGAGGGGATTGAGTGCACCCTCAGTAAGTTTGCAGACGACATCAGGCTGGGCAGGAGTGCTGATCTGCTGGAGGGTAGGAAGGCACTACAGAGGGATCTGGACAGGCTGGATCGATGGGTCGAAACCAACTGTATGAGGTTTAACAAGACCAAGTGCCAGGTCCTGCACTTGGGTCACAACAGCCCCATGCAACGCTACAGGCTTGGGCGGCGCGGCAGAAAAAGACCTGGGGGTTTGGGTCGACAGCCGGCTGAACATGAGCCAGCAGTGTTCCCAGGCAGCCAAGAAGGGCAACAGCATCCCGGCCTGTATCAGAAACAGCGTGGCCAGCAGAACTAGGGAAATGATCATCCCCTTGTACGCTGCGCTGATGAGGTCACACCTTGAATACTGTGTTCAGTTTTGGGCCCCTCACTACAAGGACATTGAGCTGCTGGAGCGTGTCCAGAGAAGAACAACAAAGCTGGTGAAAGGCCTGGAGAACAAGTCTTATGAGGAGCGGCTGAGGGAGCTGGGGTTGTTTAGGCTGGAGAAAAGGAGGCTGCAGGGAGACCTTATCGCCCTCTACAACTACCTGAAAGCAGGTTGCAGCAAGGTGGGGGTTGGTCTCTTCTCCCCCATAACTAGCAATAGGACAAGAGGAAACGGTCTCAAGTTGCGCCACGGGAGGTTCAGGCTGGACATTAGGAAGAACTTCTTCACTGTAAGAGTCGTTAGGCTTTGGAACGGGCTCCCTGGGGAGGTGGTGGAGTCACCATCCCTGGAGGTGTTCAAAAAACGTTCAGATGTGTTGCTTCAAGACATGGTTTAGTGGGTTTAGTGGGCATGGTAGCATCGGGTATACAGTTGGACTTGATGATCTTTGAGGTCTCTTCCAATCATAATGATTCTATGATTCTATGATATATGAAGCATTTCATAAATTAAACAACAATACACTACTTATATGTGTTTATTCAAGCTTGAGCAAGAAAAATTTCATTCTAAAATTTTTCAGAATATCCAAAGTAAGCTCTATAACCACTCTCCTGAAACTACATCTAAGGATGCTCTGTTCTGCACAAAGCCAGCATGTAATAACTTAGTTTAAAAATGTCAGAACAGTATTCAAACATAGAGACAGAGCCTCAAGTAATTTTGAAAGTGATTTCCTATCATCTTTAGATTTTTCTTAGGAGATAAAGCTACCAATTCTTTGGTATAATAGTCGGTTATGACTTACTGATTTTGGAAGGGTTGGATCCACAGCTGTTTCACTATATCCAATTGCTGCATAAAGTTTAGCCTTCTCTTCACGTGTCATCAGCTGTTCAAGACCTGTCACATTGCAAGAGGTTAGTTAAACTCAATATAGGTATCTGGAAAACGCAAATAATGTTATATACTTTCCAGCGCTTCATAGCTCTATGACATACAGTAGATACTGCCAACATTGTCCTAAATTAGTAAAAGCAAAAACCCTGAGGTTTAAAACAAAGTCTTGAGTCTGCTAACACATGCAATAAAATGCAGTTATACTTTTATTCTGACCTACTCTATTTTCTAGCTTGCTCACAATAGAAGCAACCTCTTTGATTTATTTCCCATGTTCCACAACCCTTACTAGCTGCCCTGCACTTAAGTGAATTAAACTCTAATAAACTGCATGAAATAGCCAAATTATAAAATGAATAGAAGTAAAATCAGTTACATTCTATTAACTGCTACTGTTTTCTAGCACTTTCTCCAAATCCCCGTACACAGTACACCATGCAGACAAATGCAAAAACTGTGGCAGGAAAAAGCACAAATTGAAGACAGTTCGTAACTGTAAGATACCTCAGTAACACACAACTAACAACTTCATCAGCAAAAAAAGGCTAAGAGAAAATGTAAACATCAGTAATCCAATAGCCTAAATATTAAACAAATCCAAAGCTCCATTGCCAGGGACCTATTATTCTAGTATGTAATTTTTAACAATGGAAAAAAAAAACACACACAATAAATGAACATACTTGAACCCTTTACTTCTTGTTTTTGCTCATCCTTCTTTTCACCTGACCAGCTCCATATCCAACTAAACCAGCCACCAGAATTTTCATCATCTTGTTTTACTCCTGGTCTGTAGACTTTTAATCCAGCCTTAGTTGCCTGAAATTTAACAAATACTCAAACAATTCATTTTCTTCACGCTTCTTTCTTCACTTTAAGAAAAATATAGACCCAAGACATGCTCTAACACATCAAAACATCATGAGGCAACCACTGAAAAAGTAACATGTTATTTTTTTAGTTTTTCTTCTAGTAACTTTTTCAATTACATAGTGCAACATCAGACCATTTCTCACTTGCATAAAATCAACCACCTTTATGAACAAAAAGACCAAGCAGAAGGCAGCTGATTTTAAGTCAATAAATGTTTCTTACATAGCAGATTTTCTCTCTAGCTCTCACCACCAAAAAAAAAAATCCACAACATTATATAGTGCTTTACATTACAACAATACACTTACAAGGATTCACTAAAAATACATATGTAAGCAATTAGATAGCTGGCACAGGCCAAATTTTAAATGATCCCTGTATTTTTCATTTCAAGATAGATGTCCAAAGCAACAATAAAAAAAAAAAAAAATCACTGCTCTTGGAATAGAATATTTACTCTAAGGAATATAGAAAACTATTTGTGGACCTGATACATATAGGTGTAACAGTAAGGTAGTCCTCTCTTCTGCCACATTCATTATTTCAATAACTACGGGATGTTCTGGTTGATACCAGTGACAATTCCAAGACTGGGTCATCAGAAAGTGCAAACTACACCCAGACTTGACCACTGAAAGTTTGGTGTAAGGGACAGCAACCAATCATCAAATGATCTAAGAGACAGAGGAGTTCTCAAAACTGTAGTGGACCACACAAACTAATTTTTTTCTTCATGACTAAAATGATTCAAAAATATATAAACACTTGCAGATAAGCCCTGAATTTAGAGATGCTGTGAACTAGTGAATGTGATACTCAAAGTGAGTGAGACAGAGATCCCTTCTCAGCATTCAAAAAACCCAAGATCTCTCTGTAACATAATTAGGGAAAACACCTGGCTATAAATCAGAACTTCTTAGGGACTTGTCACATCTATCCACCTACAGGACAATAGAATGCAGGACTCAGCACAAAAACATAAAGGCTTATGAACTCATACTGTTGATTCACCTCAGAGAGATGATGCAGAATGTCAGCTAAACAACACAAGGCCTCAAAAAGTTTGAGCAAAATCCTCCAAAGTCCTCTTTATAAAGGTCACCAAGCAGATGTTACAGAGCAAACAGTTCACGGAAAGAACAGACAGAGCCTTAGAAAAACCAGTTGTTAAGCCTCTGAAATTAGAGGTTTCTAGGACATCAAGGAGTTGGTGTTGAAGGACAACTTCCATGGAGAAAAAGAAGTGAGGCTTAAAGCTATGATTCTCAACAGGTTTGAGGCAGCAGCTGGCACCAGAGTCCAAGGTAAGAAAAGCTGCAGACAGAAGGAAGGAGAACTGTACTTTGCACGGATGAATAAAACATTTCTGCAGTATGGGAACCAAGAAATTTCCTGAAGAAATCCTGTTGAGCTCTCCCTGTCCTCCATCTACAATGGTTTAGTAATGAATATAGCCATAGTACGTGGAAAGATTACTCAGCAAGGTAAACTGTTTTGACTAAAAGAAAGGGAGAATCAAGAGCATCATCCTGTATTCTGATTTAGGTGAACTGTTTATAAAGTCTTCTCTACATTGAAAGCACAATATTTCTCAAGCTATCTGATACAGAGACTTGATGCTTGGCTCACTGAAGCTGGCATTTGTTACTTAGGGCACTAGTGATTAAGATTTAAAAGTGGCCTAAGGTTTGGAATATAAAGCTCTTGCTACAAAGTTCCCAGGAAGTCAGATGGTACTGTGTTGACAAATGTGAGTTCTGGGGAGCTTGATTTGAAGATCTAGAGAAAAGCAAGCCCTTGAAATTCAAGTCTAAGGTATGTTATTAAAAAAAAAAAAAGCTTACAGTAGGATCCTCTATCTGGCTCTACTCAGCTCACATCTAAAGGGTGCTCCTTTAAATTCCTAGTAGAATTAAGGCTGTCAGGATACCAAGCTAGTAGTAGATTTGCCTCTTACAAGTCCTTTGAGACCTTTTTCAGAGGTATGACCTGATAACAATATAACAGATGGGTTCTGACAGATAGATGGAGGTAGAACACAGTTTAGAATCACTGTGACCTGATGTTCAATACTTGGAAATAAATTCAGAGATTTAGCTAGTAGATCTTTCAAGACGCTTTTCTAACACTTTACAGATGCAAGGCTTAAAGCCCTCTTATAGCCCCCATATGAATGAAAATTCATTTGCTTGCAAGCTGCTTCTAAGCACTACAGAAACCTGTCTTAAAACTCAGGACTGGAAAGTGGTCAGGAATGCAATACGACATAACCATTTGTAAGGAGTATGGTGACACCGGAGAAAAGAAGAATAAAACTAGACAGGAAATTCTTTGGGATCTCCCTGACCTTGCAAAAAAGCAGGAGGAAAAAAGATTAAAAAAAGAAATTACATGGTACAAGACAAAAACATGCCAAAATTAAATAAGAACTAAAACAAAACAAAAAAACCCTTCCAATTCAGCTAAACAACTGAAGGGGTGAGACATGAATGTGTCCTCTGGTTCTGTAAAAGTCTGAATAATGATCATACAAGCATTGAAATGTGGGTGTACATACAGACAACCAGAAGGAAGAAAGCACACGTATGGATTCCTGCTTAGAGTTTTGGTTTAGAAGCACCATATCTATCACTGCAGCAATTGTGTTCATACTGTACTTAATATGCTCCACCAAAACCAAACAAAAAAACCACACAACAAAAAAAACCCCACCATGTTCATATCATACTTAATACACTGCACAAAAAAAAAAAATCAAATTCCTTTCAAGTACTGCCTTAAGAAATGATTGACATTCATGAAATTAATTATCAATACATTATTCCTAGCCTGCTTATTTTTCATCACATTGATTATTCATGGAGAAAGACCACTTCACAGATTTCAGAAAATCTATACAGATTTCACTTCAGTCTCCTGGAATGACGCTCAGACACTACATTGAAAACTAAGCAGTACAGTAACCTAGGAAAAACAAGGCGAACAAATGAAGTGTAACTACAAGTCACATTATCTTGTCTAACTGTGATTATCTACTTACATGTGTTCTGCATTTGCTGTATCCTGAGTAACATTTGCAAATAGTAACAAAAGATCAACGTACCACAGATATAGGTGTTCAGTCTACATAACAGGCTATCAGGAAGGAAAGGAATAGTCTAGGCTGTTGGGGGGGCCAAAGTGGGCAAGCCTGAAGCTTTGGGAATTAACAGCTTCCAACTTGACTTAGTGTATCATCTATATATGATATATGACATCTATATATGATATATCATCTATATATGAAATATATGACTATATTTTCCACAGGAGATCTTCCTCATCAGAAGTACAAAGAAATTTATCCCAGATCAGCTACTCTGAAGAGGCAGTATATGGAGCTATTTAATTTTTGCATAATTACAAGCCAAAACTAACTATGCCTTATAATAACAAACATGAAATACAAGGAAAATAGAAAGACTGTATGATGCACAATTCAATCACTAGAACTAAAATGCGTCTGCCCAAAATCACCACAACCTCATGTTGCAGTTACTCTTAGACTCACTGAAATGATGAAATTTTACCTCAACTTCTGCTTGTTGCCTTGCTAGAGTGATGTTAAAAACATCCAATGTCTTTTCGAATTCCTAGAAAGGAGGTGAGAAATTATTTTTTGACAATTTCATTTGGTTAGATTTCAAAGCTCAGTTTTACAGGAAATGACTGTAAACAACCATTTCAATGCAACCCATGTTAATTTGCTCAAGATGAAAACTTAAAATAAACCTGGAGAAGAAAAGCACATCAGTTTAAGTTTTTCTTCACCGCAGTTACTATTTTAAAAAATTACCTAATATGTTTGTTAATGCTAGTAACAGAGAAAGGCACTAATGAAGTTGCAAGTCTGGCCACGGAAAATTTTATTTTAACTTAGTATTGACATAGGAACATGTATACATTTAAATTTAAGAAAATAGCAAGATAAGCAATATTTAAGCCTTTAATTGCAATGGCTAACCTCCAACAATTTTAGGATTTCTTCATTAGGTTTTTTTGACGTTATCTTTGTTTTATACATCTCTTTATAGTTCTTCACTTGTTTCCTATGGTGTCGAATATGTTCCCATGACCACATCTGGAGCTTAGGTTGAACATTTACTTCAAGGATGCCATAAATAACATATTTCCACCTAAAAGCAAAGACAAATGAAGTATACTTTACATTTCTTTCAGTATATTGAAAAGAAACCTACTGCTGTGCAGACTCCCACTACATACAACTTCAAGTTGTGAACGAGTGAAATCCCTTGTCCAATACCACACTTCTCATGAGTAGAGGAAGCTAAGGATTCTAATTTCTTCCAAAACTAAAAACTAAACTTGTACGAAAATTGCCCATAAATATATCTATGGGTGTTTGTGTGTTTCTGTGAACAACCAAAACATATTTGTAAGGAGTCTTCTGAAAAAAAATCAAGTCTCTGCCATCTGTGTTGAAAAGGTTTGCCTATTTTTAGATAACAGCTATGTTCTTGTAAGAGTACCTAACATATAACGGGGTGTCCTTCATTAAAACAGAGTTAGAATACTAAAATACTATCAAACTTAAGTTTCTGATAATGGTCTTTAAGACAGCAAATGCAGGCTTTCAAATACTGTGTCCTCACCTTCGGTTTGAGGTCCTCACCAATGTTTTTTTAGTACCCCCAGCTTAAGAAACACAAACAAAAACAAAAGAGAAGACTGTTTCAGAAGGAAACGAGTTCTAACCTCCTTAACTAAGAAACAATTTCTTGGTAATTATTTCAAATTAATAACTAACAAATTATTTTCAAGGTCTGAGGTGGCCTACCATGTCTTGGCATTGTTGTGCAATGGAATATCAGGTCTGTACTTCCTATATGGCAGATTCCGAGTCATCATATCAATAGACTCAAGAAGCTCCATAACACTGAAGTACTAAAAAAAACCACAAACAAGCAAACAAAAATTTCAAACTGAGTGCTATTTTCTGAGAACAAGTGAACCAAGCTTCTCTTTAAAAAGAAAATAATTTACAAGAAAAACAAGACTAAGAAGTGAATCAATTATGTATATTATAAAATTTCAGACTTTTTCTTATCATTTTTGCAAATTTATTTTTTTACCACATTACATATAACTTCAGAAAAATAGTTTATACCTGTGGCTTATTGAATTCAACAGTTATATCCTGTAAATTTACATCTAAATCCATCTTTGGAGATGAAAAGTCAACATCAGATCGAGGATTCATAAGCAGTTTGGCTTTAGCCGAAATTGGGCGGAATACTAGAAAACAGAAGTTGATATAAAAAGTGCAGTTAAATTATTTAATACTGCCATAAACGATACATAATAATTATCAGCTCTAGTTATGCCAGATTATTCATTTAAAAATGCTAGACTTCAAAACATGAAGACTTCATCAACACAGTTTAAAATATAATACAAACTATACTCAATTTCCAGTTTTGTTCTGGCAACATTTGTGGAACAAAGATTTGTGGAACATTTTCACAAAATTTCCTGTATGTAGTATTACATGGCAGATGTTTCAATTAATAGTTTATATTTGCAACAAATCTAGTTTTTTCATCTATGACATGAGCTATTTATACTACAAGATAGTTTCAAACATAGGACTTATTTCACTATAACTCTTATTCCATAAGGATTTCTTTTTAATATTACTGATGTTTTACACTGTTGGATAAATTATACTTGCAACAGTGGATAAAAACCAAACATTCCACATTTCTAAATCCAAGCCCAAGTAAGCAAGGAAAGCAAAGCAAAGCACATCACATGAAAAATAGTCAGAGCAGAAACGTTTTATCTGTTCCACAATTTGGCAATATCAGTCATTTGAAGCCATGTTTAGTTCAGTATTTCCATCTGTTTCAGCAATGGATCCAACAATAAGAATTTGTATATTACTTAGATTTATATAAATCATATTTTTATCAAATAAAATTCCTTCGATTTCAACAGACCATCTACATACCACATATTCTAAATTCACTGAAATGTTCATACAAGCGGAAACAGGCATTTTTGCAAGATGAAACCATGTTACACCAATTTACCTCTGTTTCACTTTAAGTCCCATATTTCTTGTGAAGCTTATTTTACTTTTACATACACATTTCATGTGGTAGCATTTCTATTAATTTTGTCCCTGTATTTGGCTTCCTAAATTTCATTTTCCATCCCTCCTATGTGTATTATGTTCTCATTTAAACCGACAGAAGCAGACTCTGTCTTTATGATATTTCTATCAATGTCTCAATCTAAAGAGTTGCTCTAAAAAAACCAGAATTTTCATTTAGCACAGCATATCAGCATGACGTAATTCTTTAAATATCCGTGTCTCTGATGGTACTGCTAAATTTTAAGTATAAATCCTGAATCCTGTGATTTTGCATACAACTATTTTGAACTTCTGTGTAAAAACTTAGACAATGATGCTTAAACTTATTTTCTTGTAAAAAGAGTCAAAGCTAGCAAGTGGAAAAGATAGATAAGACATCAGAAGAAATTACTAAATAGTTCTCTGGCAGTCAAATAAAGAGACACAAAAGGCTTCCTCATTCAGGCAAATGCAACAAGAAAAACCTTTAAAACTATCAGTAATCTTTTATAGCCTGGCTAGAGTGAACTGACAACTTGCTTGCTAGAGAACAAGCCACTTCAAAGGCCATTCTGCCTTGCAAACAGTTACTAAACAATCACACAGATGCATATGAGAAATAAAACCCATGTCTTTTCCATACAATGAAAGCTAAGCAATCACCATGTTTCAGTAGAGCCAATGCAACTTACAGACTAAAGTAAGCAACTTCCAAAGCAATACAACTTGCAATACGGTAACACTAAAAAAACTAAAACACAAATGTTGATGTGTCAGAGTTGTTACACTACTGTTTCCACTTCTAATGAAAAAAAGATACACTTTGTATAGGCAGGTGACCTGAAAAACATTAATCTATTAATCAAACAAATCTGATTCACAAAACTTATATGATGCACATATTATTGCTAAACATCTTGAAATAATGAATTATCAATGGTTGTGAACAATGAGGATTTACATATAACATTCCATTAGAATGATACAGGACTCAACACTTCATATTTTAACCTAAGTCTTTTTAAGGCTACAGATATGGTACAGTATTCACTGACAGAGAGATAGTTATTCCTACAAAAGAACTAAATTGCACTCCTTACTAAGACTGAGTAACAGCAAAAGTAGCAACCTCTGAAATACATTACAAATTAGAAGCACACGCGCATATTACAAATACAAATAAAATACCACTTACCAAAATCATAACCTTCTGGAACCACATTATGGCTGGCAACTCCCTGTTTTAAGTTAACCTATGTACATAACAGAGTTAAAAATAAGTTGCACTTTTATTTAATGATAAAGTTTTAAAATATAAAATGTTAGCATTTTAGTACAGGTTTCAGATAATCCTTCTGATACACAGTACAATTCAAAATATTCATCTAGTTTTAAGTAGAGTAAGAGTTACATTTTTAGCTAATAAAATTACTGAACAGTAAGAATACCATATATTGTGTATAATTTTGTAACTGGCAAAGGACTTTTTTTTTCTTTTAAACTTCCTCAGATGGGTGTTGTACTTCCATCACATAAAAACCTTTAACATTCACTATTTTTCCTAAAAAAGTTATTAGTAACAAAACAATTCTCCAGGACGTTCACCCTGATGGAAGCAGAACTGACTGTGAAGCATACCCTATGCTTCACGATAGGAACTAGAACACTAGATACATTACCTCGTGCTTTACTTACCAACGATTCTTCACAACCACCATGGTAGAACATCTCTGATTTCACATTCCAGTAAGCAAAAAGGTTATCCAGTCGTACAAGCTGAAAATACAACAGAACACATGTATTAACACCTACAAATTTTAGATTAATAATTAGGAATTTACAAAGTCTGGATGAAGGAAAATATTCAGAATATTCCTTGCAGACTAGACATCCTTTTATTTTAGAGCCTATACAGTTACATGTTTTCTTGATTTCACTTTCTGTGCAAGTAACTCTAATTCAGTTTGTCTTATTAACAACTCTTTCTTCAGCATGTAGTTTATTCAGTACCTTGTAGAACAACTTGGCAGTTTCATCATGTAAACATGGATTCCAATTCTTATCTGAGGTCTGAAATGAGAGTTAAAGGAAGTTATGCCAATATCTATAATACACAGTATTTTATCATCACTGAAACAAACAGGGGAAAAAAAGGGAAGAACACCATCATAATTAACCTCACTGAAAATAATGGGATGCCATCTTCTGATTTAAGATGATTATGCCATTATTTTAAGTGGAAACTTGATAAGGCTACTTCCCCTCCCCCCAAATACACATGTGTACATGCAGTGACTGGCAGGCTGCACACAAGAAGAAAAAGATTCTTTAAAATTCTGTTTTCAGTATTGCAAACTGTTTTCCTTTACACCAATATTATTTTTAGGCAGGCTTTTTGAAAAGAGATAAACAAGGGACTACAATTCTTTTATAATTCAGTAAGTAGCATTTTACTTTGAGCTCAACTGAAACACTATACATTATTATACTTTTTCAAGACTGATGTGCATTTCAATAATGAAGCTGTAAGAATACCAAAGCTTTTCCCCACTATGCAAAACTGTTTAGGTGAAGGGGCTGGCAAAAACCATTCAATGTGCTAGGAAGAAGCATTCATAAGACAATTATTTGATTCAAAAAAGTAACATTTACTTAGACACTTTTTTTTTTTTTAAGATTATTAGTCACACAGGAACAGCTACTGCATCAGAGCAATTCAGCAGAATTAGCATACTGCTGCTACCACGTAGTCTTCCAGGAAAAATATGGACACAGTCAATGCTGACTACTATTAGCATTTTAAAGCAGAGCTTGCAGATCAAAGAACTGAGCTCCAGTTCAAAACAAGCTGCCGTCCTCTTTTTTTTCCTTTTAGCCCCCCCTTCACAGAACCATAGAATGCTGGGGGGTGGAAGAGATCTCTGGAGATGATCTCATCCAATCCCGCTATCAAAGCAGGTTCACATACAGCAAGTTGCATAGGATCGCATCCAGGCAGGTTTTGAATATCTCCAGAGAAGGAGACTCCACCACCTCTCTGGGCAGCCTGCTCCAGTGCTCTGCCACCCTCAAAGTACAGAAGTTCTTCCTCATATTAAGATGAAACTTCTTGAATTTCAGTTTGTGCCCATTGCCCCTTAACCTGTTGCTGAGCACCATCAAAAAGAGTCTGGCTCCATCCTCTTGACAT